CTGCTCTGCTTATCCACTGTTAAAAGGGATTTTACCAGTGATATGGCTCCAAATTTTCATCCATCATAGAAATTCAACACAATTGTCATGACTAACTGCCTTGTTCAAATAAAGCTGATGACTACAACAACGAATTTGCTGCTCAGGAATTAAATGCTATGTCACTATGCTTAGATTTATATATAAATACCTGTCCATCATTTGCATGAATAATTAACAAACTTTTTTTAAAAAAATTCTAAAAAAAAATCTGTTCTTGAAACAAAAAACCACCAAACCCTTTTATTATCTTTCCTCTGAATTGACTCAAACTCTAATTTTGTAACGCATTCATTTAACCTGACATGATTTGTAATAAAACCTTCATTATACAAGACAGCTAGAAACAGAGCTGTCTTTAACAACGAATCACAATTCTAAACTTTAGGATTCACCCAAGTGTCTCTTCTGCCAAGGAAGACCAATGTGATAAAAAGTTGAAGAATGGAAATGTAAATAGTAAAGCTGTGATATAAAGCAAGGTGTGCATATGCTTTAGTTACTCATAGACTCTTAAGATCAGACACCTAACTAGTCACTTGTAATGATTTCTAACTTCTAGTTTTTCCTTCAGATTTATTTATCTTTCTAACTAAAATATGAACAGTGCAGATTATTTTGTTCAAAATAAACCGCTAATGAATGCGTAGTCAGATGTGCCTTTTCCCTGGTGTATGTTCCTGCTCTTTCTTATTTAACACGTTTGCTGATACGTTATGTGTTACGGTGTGCATAGGCAATCAGATCAGAAATAGGACAAACTAACAGCATTGGCAACATCCCCTTGCACTGAAAAAGTGGAACCCAGAACTGTTCTCACATACAAGAATGCAATTACTTGCTCTACTGAGTATCGACACAAAATGAAAGGACAATCCACAGGAAGCCAAAGGGCTGAGATTACTTCTATAAGATTATTGCTTCACTTTATCATCAAAGGTAAATTACCACAAACAGATGAATGAATGTGTGATTTCTGCATTCACGAGCACCACAAATTTGAGAGATAGCTCTCTTTCAATTGAGAGAGAAATGCTACTATGTCTACATCTTCACAGTATGGTGAACATTTGTACAGAAATCACCAACAAACAATTAAATGAACTGTTCAAAATATCTTTATTCCAGTAGCACATAATAAATACAGTATCAGAATGCTATACCAAATAGATTTCATATTTCAGCATTTAGCATTTCCTGAATTTGGGGTGGTTAAAAGGACTTGCACAGTAGTAGCTCAGTCTTTTATGGGTTTACATCACAAAATAATCTTTAAATAAATGATTTATAGTACAGAGCTTTTAATAACATATTGTCATGCAGTTTTCCCTAGCCTGTAGAAACGTTATTTATGACAAGCCAAGTAGGCAGGCAGGAGTCAGGAATTAGCAGGGAGAGGGGACAAACCCTCTTCCAGAGTCTTTCTTCAGAAACTGGTGAAATCTTTCTAACACTGTCCAGGGCACAGCTCAGTCAGCCAGATGCTTGCTTTCAGGTCAGCCTCCCTTCAGTGAGCACCTTGTGTGAAATCAACTTTTGTGAAGAGGACCAAAAAAAATAATGGGCACCACTGAAAATTCACACATGGCTATTTTCATGGCAGAATTTGAAACGTAAGAGGAAAAAGGGAGTATGTTAACGCCCTGTGTAGGAGATAACGTGTATAAAACAACTAAAACACACTATCCATGTTCAAAATGCAATTTTCTGAGGTGCAAACTAAATAAAACCTAAACCAATAATTTCTAGAATTGCAGAAGTATGTTTTCCAAAGTGAAAGTTATTTTTGTTACTTTTTTTTTGTTACTTCCAAGTCATAGAACCATGGAATGGTTAGGGTTGGAAGGGACCTTAAAGATCATCTTGTTCCAACCCCCCTGCCACAGGCAGAGACACCTTCCACTAGATCAGGTTGCCCAAAGCCTCATCCAGCCTGGCCTTGAACATTTCCAGGCACGGGGAATCCACAGCTTCTCTGGGCAGCCTGGTCTAGTGCCTCACCACCTTCACAGTGAAGAATTTCTTCTTTAGATCTAATCTAAATCTGCCCTCTTTCAGTTTAAACCCATTATCCCTCGTCCTAGCACTACACGCCCTTGTAAAAAGTCCCTCTCCAGCTTTCTTGTAGGCCCCCTTTAGGTACTGTAAGGCTGCTAGAAGGTTTCCCTGGAGCCTTCTCTTCTCCAGTCTGAACAACCCCAACTCTCTCAGCCTGTCTTCATACGACATATTCATTGTAAAGTTGTTCAAGAAAATAGAAAGTATTTCACTTTTCTCAATCTGAAGAAAAGCATTACTAGTTTAGCTAGATCCTAAAGAATATCAGTTTACATTACTGAGCACAAAAGTAAAAGATACATTGTCAGATATTAAAACACTGAGACGTGATACATAATATACCTGTGTTTGAAACTTACGTTTTCTGTTAATTTACATCATTTACATCAATGGAAAAAATATTGGGCCAAAAAAGGCTCTGTCTTTAATGCCTGTAACTTTCACCACTGCAACAGGCTAGGCAATATTTAGATTTGTATTTAGATACTTAGACTGAGGCTTCAATAATCTTTGGTTAATCAACCTAAATAACTTTCTCACTTTCTTTGTGAGTTCTACAATAAAATTCATACATTTATTAGACTTAATAAAAAGCAAGAGCAAACAAAAATCTCCCCTTTCTAGCAGCTGATCTTGGAAACATTACAGAAATCTACCAAAATCACCCGTTTTCTTCAGGCTTAGCTGCTCCCAGGGTTCTTAACTAAAGATTGTTCATCCTACCACTTGACCACAATACACTAGAGAGCTACTTCCATTGTATCTGCTTGTAGGACTACTGCTTGAATACATCATCCTTCGTAAGATCAAACTTTGTGTAGTACCAGAGGGAAATTCTGCCAATCTATTTTGTCAGATTTGAAAACTGTATGCCCAGTAATTCCACAATAATATATTACTCTACAGGTGTGTGCACTGCACATGACTGAAATTACAGTTCAAAGAAAGGAAATTCTCATGATGCACAAGAATAATAAGAAATAATTTGCATGCATTACCTTTAGCTATCTTTATTAACTGACTTTGAAGTCAAGAGATTTAGGTACTATCATATAAGTACAGAAGATAACATTTTGTACTATCTGAACTCTTACCATCAAAGACAGAAATCTTATTTTCTCGGTGTGTAATCTGAATACATCCTCCAGAGCTGCTAGAAATAGACTTCATTAGTGATGGACCTTCAAAAAAATTACCGCAGCCAGAAGTCTTTTGTATTAGAAGACAACGCCTTCAGGTTTTATTTTGTGGTAAGCCCTAAACTGATCTCCTGTAACACCTTCTGAGGCAGTGGTAGGAGTTACTAGCTTAAGATTTACTCTATGACTTTTTAAAGTATACCATAACCTTCTTTATACTGCAAGGAAGTTAATGACCAGAACATTTTACTTCTGCAGTTAGTAGTGTCCTTGCTCAGGAATTTTACAATCTACTGAGCCAATATTGTTTTAATGGATAGGAGTTTGCCCTCAGAAAAGGCAGAAGAAAAAAACCTTTCTGGAATTCAGGGTTGACTAGTAGTTCAAAGCAATTCAATTACTGTAACATGGTAAGTAGGAACTGTAATTATTTTCATACTGAATTTACTCAATGCGCCTAAAAACTGTCTCCTGACTATACTTAACGGCCACACATACAAAGTTCTGTTAAATCCACAAAACTCTGTATGAAGACAGGTGACAGTAAAGCTGCATAGGGATGCCAAAATTATTTGTTATCAAACGGAAATGGTGGAAAAATGTCTGAATCACTGCGCTCAAAGAGTCAGTGGTTCTGAAGTCCAACCAGGTTAAGTGTGCTGCACCTCAGTAGTTAATTCCAGGGCCAATTCAGTTTAGCATCTTTAACAACCTGTACAGAAAGCATCCTCAGCAAATCTGGGGACAACATCAGTTTCAGAGGATCAGTCAATACCTTCCTGGAGGGTAGGGCTGCCATTCAGAGGACCTTGACATCCTGGAGAAATGGGCTGGCACTGAACTTTAACAGTCCTGCATCTTTCATGCTCCTATTGCTCCCTACAACTACCTAATTCGAGGGTATAGGGAAGAGACAGACAGACTGTTCTGAGAGATATATAGTGAAAGGATAAGGGGCCACAGACACAAATTGCAGCAAGGGAAATTTCCGCTTGGATATTAGGAAAAAAAATGCAGTGCTAGTCTGGACAAGCACTGGAGCAAATGCCCAGAGAGGCTGTAGGATCTCCATCCTGGGAGACACTCCAAACATGTTGAGACATGGCCCAGAGCAAACTGCTCTAATCTGAGTGGGATCTAACTTTGAAACTGGCCCTGCTCTGGATGGAAGGTTGGACCAAGGGTCCTCCAGAGCCTTCTTCCAACTCGAAATTATTGTAGACTTCTCTATCCTAAGTTTTCAAAGAAACACTTAGAGCGAACTTAATCTTATATTTGGTCTAACGGATATAGCCACAAACATTTCTTCATATCCTCACCACACAAAAAATGACACATTTTCACAGGTGAATTTACACAAACTTTTTCACAAAGAGAGGCATGTAATGTCACTCATCTCTTTCTTTTTTTTTTCTTTTTGAAAACATAGTTTCCACAAACACCTCTGCAAACTTGCTTCAGCTAAGGATGGTGAAATAAACTGAACAAATAATACCATAAAATTAGTCACTAATGTGGTATCTGTACTTAAAAATAAATTAATAATGATATTTTATGAATAAAATACTTGCCAAATACCAGTTAGGATGCACCCTACCATACTATCATTCAGCATTTTCCTTTGCTGATGCACAAAAAGATAGATAAAATTAATGTTGGGTTATAATGACTAAAATTGTAGACATTGCCCACACCAGTGCAGCTACAGATTTCTGAGGAACACATGACAGAAACAAAGGGTCTAACCTCTTGCTTGTAGCCCAGGTCCACAAGTCTCATGTGCTCCCGGGCTGTCCTGGCGCACGTACCATGGTACTAGCTGGCACCTGCGCCACTTGTGAGTCTTCCACCTGAAATGAAGGGGGAAGTAATCAACTTCAAACAATCTATCTAAACTTGTAGTAATCAAAACTGAGGCAGCACAAGTGCTAGATAGTATTAGAAACCACCGTAACATTAATACAAAGCATTAACATACTTATACCAGATGTGAGGAAGAAATTTCAAAAAAGAATACTATACACAATAATAAAATGATGTGACTTGAATACGCATTTAACAGAACTCCTTTGCTATGGATTTATATCTGAGCGTGCTCAGAGTATTTTACCAGTCCACAAAACGATATAATAAAATTTGAAAAGTGGATTTAGCAAAGTAACACTAACATCTCGTAGAAACAACATGGACCCATTAAACAAGGATGAGTTTTAAATACTAACACTCCCTAATAAACCTCCTCTCTTTCTCACTTGTCCTTCTTTCCATTCTTCTTTCCATCTATCTCAGTAAAATAAAGATGTGTTGAAGTTTCCCAAACACACTCCAGAGATAAGACTCCAAGACTGATTTTGGGTTCACGGAGTATTGGGACTGTCTTTTGGCAGTAAATACAGACACATATAGGTGTTAGCGCATTTCTTTCTCTTTTTCCTTCTTTCCTATTCCCCAGGTCTTTTCTTCCCCTCTCTTAGTCATGCCTTGCAACACAACAACCAATGGAGCAATTCTGCCTTGCTTGAAGCACAAACAAGACTTGGAGTTACAAAGTGACAAAGATGAGGTCAGATGAGCAAAGTCTTAGGATTTTTGTTCTGTTTTCTCAACTTCGAAATGATATGATTACAGGAGTAAAGTTTTCACAACAAAAAAATTCCTTTATTAAGACTGATCTTCCAAACACTATCCCAAAAGGAGAAATGAGAAGCAAAAAGGGACCACAGGTACAGCAAAGCATTGGGACAGTGGGTTTTAATGACTGTGAGGGCTCCTCAGGCAACCTCAGAGCACCTGGGGTCTCAGTCAGCACCTTACAAACGTGGAGCCAAACAAGAGATCCAGCACAATGTGAATATGAGCCCAGACCATATCAAAATAAAACACAGAGAAAAAGAACTTGCAAAAAACTCTGATAAGAAATGCAATATTGTGCTGCTTAAATTATTCTCTCATTAATATAAACTGCCATGAAACTTTTACAAGGTTCCTTTCTAGTGCTGCAGAATACCCTAGGCCTTACATATAACAAATCCAGGCAAGTCTAGTTATTGTCACACCTCTGAAATAATCCACAGTTGCCTGAATTACTCAGAGTGGGAGGAAAATAAAAAAGCTACGTCCACAGCTCAAACCATCAACTGCTCTCATGTTTAAAATTATCGCAGCTATTTTGTGCCTCAAGTTTCATTGTACCTTGCCTCCGCAGGCCACTATCTAAACTAAGGCATGAGCCAAGCTGAGTGTGTGAGTCCATCTGTCATGGCATGTGTGTAGGTCAGAAAGATGCTAAACGAAATATACAGAAAACGTTGTTAGTATTAGTTTGTGTCATGAAATTTAAATCACCTCATCTACCACTCCCTAGCACCTCTTCTGCTCAGCACATCATCATGCACTGCCTCAGGTAAAATTTGATCCTGAAGATACTAAAGAGATGAGGAGCAGCCAGCATTTTAAAAGATAAATTTCTGACTTTAGTATTAACTAGAAAAAGTTCTTAAGCTATATTTCTCTGATGTTGGGAGTATTGATTTTGGGAGCTTCCCAATGCTGTTTCACATCCTTTCATATCTTCCAGTTATATACAGTGTGATTTCCTAATGAATTTGCAAAGATAATTCTTACTGGATGACGAAAGTAACACATTTCTTGAATATCAATTTGTTTTGGCTAAAATAAGCTTAAATTCTATTTGCACTACTGCAACAGGGGTTCCATGGGAACTACCAGGTGTTCTTTTCTAGCCACTGGAGAAACAGAACATTGGCTTCCAATTAAAATATATTTATTATTCATAAAAAAAAAAACTTTTTAGTTTTTTTTTAATTTCGTCAAGTAAATCCAACCATCAGAATTTTCTAAACTTTGTCTGTATCAACATCCAGACTTGCTGTAAATTTAGACTTTCCCACATCACTCAGACAGATGCTACAAAATGGCCCAAAAATTTTTTCTTAAGCAGTTATGGTGGATCCCCACCTGTTCAAACAGTCCTCACCATTCTCTGGTGAAGATTAGGTCAACACAGAGAATTTTGTATCTTAGGTGACAGATCAGCTGTGGACTACCTCAGGGCTGACAGGGATGGAGAGATGGAGGATACAGTGCATGGCGCAGTGTGGCAGCAGAACTCTGCTCTCCTAAACAGATGAGGCTGCATGTCAGTGCTTTGGAAAATTTAGAAAGGAGGATCTTTTAAATCTTATACAATTTCAAAATAGTTACTAAGAAAGATTTATCCTGGAACGCAATTCTTAGTAGTTGCAATGCTCCTGCAAAGGAACTGGAACAAACTCACTGTGGGCCCAACTGAGTCTACATATCTGTTCTGAAACGTTGATTTAGTGATATATAGTATTTATATGAAGAAGTGAAATTCAACAAGCTTTTGAGGTAATTCAAGTTGAAAAATCATGTCTGAGCTGCTTCTGGTTGATTTAGACTACCTGTAGCTATAGCAGACGGGAGAAGCTTCACATTCCTTTTCCTCAAACAAGGAGTCTGGGCACTCACGACCACCGTTGGCGGGGAGCTGGATGATGACTCGGTGACGGGACTGCTTCTTTACTGGGACACCCCCTGCGAAGAGTAGAAGAGCTTGTTTCTCCTGCTACTACATAGGGATGACAGTAATTAGGGGAAAAATAAGATTTCGTGTAACAGATATTTGAGTTCATTGCTGTAAGAGTGACATGCTATTTTGTCCATAAGAAGAAAATTAAGCCTAATAGATAAAACACTTTAATCTCAGCTAAAGACCAGGAACCTGAAATAAACAGAAGGAAACAGCAGCAATACTGTACAAATGAATATACAGGTGAAGTGAACACACAGTTCAAGCAAACAAAATTAAACCAGCTCTGTTTGCTGCTATAATTTACAGTTTCAAAGTGTAAATTTTCCCTAATCATTGTATGCAAACCCAGAAATTAATGGAAAGAAATTATCATATTTCACAATTTTTCCACGCAGAAAATGACTCCATCAGAAAATCTGCTTGCCTTTTGCTTATCTCCACAGTCAGAAATAATTTACAATAATTCTTGGTTCTCTCCAGCCTGGGCTTTTAATTCTGCTCCCTATACCCTCGTTTCCCACCTGAGATGAGCATTACCCTATCTAGAGACATAAAAAATATTCCAAAAGAGCATGCTTTACATTTAAATTTGAAGTTTTATTTCCCATTCTGGAATTAATTTACAGCTTACAGTTTTTAATTATTATAGTTATTCATTATTAATGATAAACAGTAAACAGTTCCTGTAGGAATTCTGATTCCACTCATCTTCAGATATCAGTTCTTCAGGCAGCAAATTAAGAGAAAACCCACAAATTTACATTAATTCCATAGCAATACCTAATATACAAATATTGTTAGGTAAAAATATTGGATTTTTTTTTCTTTTTTTTTTTCCTCCAAAGAGCTGTAGCACAGACATTTGGCTGACTGGGTTGATATCAGCTTTGGGTGGGTTATTACAGCAGCTGCAGCTTGTCTGAACACAGAAGTGCGCTGGACCACGGCCAAACAATTGTAATTAGGAGCAAGCGGTAGGAGAATCCCGGCGGTGGCTTTCCACCACCTGGCTGCTTTTCAATGCAGAGGAAACCCTCCACTCCCACGTCAATCAGCTCCAGGAGATGCTAGGAGCTGGCACAAGGGGCAAGACAGACGCACAGCCCAGTAAAGCTGCTGGCCAGCTTGCTGACACAAATGGGTAAAACCCATGAAATAAAAATTGTTTGTGTAGTATTAAAAGAGTCTGACTCACTGACTAGACAAAAGGCCTGTACTGGTTCACAAATAAACTGCTTTTTAGCAACATATGTGCTAGTTTGTAGTGAATATTCATGAAGACACGTTCATTGCATCAAGGCCTTTCTTAAAACCCGCAGAAATCAGAACAGAAGAGGATGGCATTTTTGTCCAAAATGATAACAAAAGTATTTCAGAAAGAATCATTAGTATTGCTGTTCATTATTAAATACTGTATTAATTTACAACTATTTAATAGATTCGGATTTAATGGTCTTTCTTCACTGCTCTTTTTCAAAGGTTATAAATTTAATCTTCTTAATCCCTTTTTTATTTGTTAGAATGCACTAAGTACTAATAAGAATTACTGCAAAAATGACTTTGTGCTTGTGTCCTTTATAAAGCATAAAGAATTGGCTGTGACATTTGAAGTGTGTACATTTGATATAACAGTATCTTACATTCTAATAATATGGTAGCTGTGAGTAATCACCATGTCCCACACGGGGATTAGCACCCCATGGAACTCGGGGTATTACAGACTCTGTTTGTAATAGTACATATCATAAAAATAGCTCCTGTTAAGCTTAAAAAAGAAAAAAAAAAAGCAGAAAAATGTGGGCAATATTAAGGCAGTCATCACTTGAACGTTATGCATGATTTCACTGTTAATAAAAATTCAAGGGAGACCTGCACTGTTTTAAAGAGCTTTGCCAAGTGTATTACAACGATATTGTAATGTATGTTTAAGTCAGGCCATTAACATCAACTTAAAGTCTGCTGATTTTTATTAACTTTGATTTTCCTTGGAGAAGAAGAAACAAGCCAAAATCATATACAAGTGTATATCTATCTATCTATCTATCTCCCGGTATATAAAGCCTCAAGTTTTCTGATGAGCAAGCAGCATATGTATTTTCAAATGCCAAATCTGACCATTTAATAATCCAACAATTCAAATACAGTTGCTACACTTGTACAAGTATCTGTTTTGGTCTTACACTAAGAGTTATGTGTCTTCTCTGTGATTAGTTATCTCTTTATCAGTGGGAGATGCAAACAGGATTTTGTAACCTAAAAGTAGGAAAAATGAGAAAAAACAAACAAACAAACAAACTGATGCTTATAGAAAACATATAGAAATAACTGTACTATTCAGCAAAAATAACAATGTCCTCCTTGCAGCTGCTCTACCAGCTATTACATGTTCTCTGTCAGAGAGACATGTCTATAAGTATTCTGCCAAAAGTGACTGCTAGTCTAACTCCTTTTTTTCTTACAATCTGTCTACTAGCACACAACGGATAAAATTACCTTCTTGACATGAAGAAGGGCACAATGTCCAGTCACTGAACGGAGTCACAATACAATCTTTCCGACAGGGAAGCAGACAAGGCCTCACTGTTTCTGGTCGGAGGCTCTCAGGGCATCTAAAAAAAAAAAACCCCAGAAAAAGAAGTGTTATCAAATAAACAATCATTCTGCAGTGAAGTGGTGAATCATGAGAGGTACTGAATGCCTGCAGGCACATGAGAGGAGTGCTAGTTGTCCAGGATTCACCAGGATTGAGCTAGGAAATAAAAACTGTTAGAATTTAAATGTAGCTGTCGGAAGCAAGCCAAACCCAGTGCATTCTACACCTGAGCATTTAACTACAAAGTCATGATTCCTCACTCAGCATTCCCAATGCTGCCTTTGAGTGTTCTTTTCACCTTCTAAATGATTATGAAGAAAAGCCATCTAGTTTAGCTTGGCAAAATACGTTTTTAGCTCTTCATAAATTTACCAAAAACATGAACTCTGGAAAGAGGCATATTTAAACTAAATAACATTGCAAACCCAGGAACAAATACATATAAGCTGGCCATGATTATGAGAGAGAAACCAGAAAAGGGTTTCAAACTGCCAGATCAATGAGACTGTGAAAGACTGCCAGAAAGGACAGAAAACATTGCTTGTTTTAGGAAGAGGCTTGATCAGCATACAAAAGGGATTATTGGACTGCCACATATGGGACTCATTAACTCAGGTCATATTCCCCCATTCTGTGTTCCTATTTTTTCATCAAGGACAAACAACTCTCTATGCTGCAATACTTGTTCTCAGAATGATTCAATAACTCTTGCAGAAGTACTGCAAATCTTTAAAATAATTTCAAAATTACTATTGCCCTAAAAGTGCACAGAATGTGGCTGTCAGAGGATTACATAAAGAGGTAAGAAAAACATCATGCATCTATATTTTAGAGCTTTTGGCTCATTGCAGAAAAACATTACTATGACCAGCTTTTCCTCTTGTGGCTGCTGGGCATCTTGGACCAGAGAGATGAGAGTCTGGTTTTATATTCGGATTGGATCAGCTGGGGAAGCTTGGCTTGAGCAAGGCATCTTTCTTGCCAGGCTGAAGGGAGCACAGGCAAGTCTAGTGATGAAATACTGAGAAAATGTGGTCTCCATGGTTAGCAGAGGACTATACCTGTGTCAGTGTTGAAGGAGAAGCAGGAGGAAAGGAGAAAACTCGAGTTGCAGCTTTACAGGAACATATTCATCAACAAGACTTGATAGTTCATGATTTGCACCAGTTGTCTCTGCATTTTCCTGACAATTCACATAAAATTCTCAGAGTATGATCCATTACTGTGAACCAGCACTAGCCTCTTGGTGCCCTCTCATAATGACATATCCACCCTTTCTCTTTCCTGCCCTAAATACCAGACTGAAAGACCACAAAATATTATAGCTATAGCAACATAAATCTACATCACTTCTCTGTAAGCTCTCTACATTTTTTAAGTCAAATTGTGCTTGTTTTTCCTACGTGATTCATAAAATCAGATTATGTATGCATGGGTGCATTATATATGGTCAAGTACACTTTAAAAAAAATCTGCCCCCAATCACATACATCGACTACACTTTCAGAAATTTTCTCTAAGGTTAAAATTCAAAATGCTTCTGAAAAGTATTGAACATTGGCTTACTAATGGCTTTTTCCTTAAAGAACAACAGAACTTATAAGCATACAAAATCTCTGAATTATGCACATTCACTGCTTCACTGAGAATGTCATCTTTCAGGAGCGCTGAGCATTACAATTTCTCTTCAGATCCTTGGGCAAGGCAATTAGTTCAATTAGAACACCATTTCTATCTTTTATATTGTTTGTATTTAGTATATGTGGCTTAAAGCAAAGTATTGATTTTTTTGCAGTCCTTATTCAAGGTCAAATTAAACAGAAAAGATACAAGCTGAAGTCTGTAACTCATGAGGTAGATAAGGCCAATAATATTGATTGTATCATACCACAGTAATCCTTTTTATTAAGGGGAGTTTAAAACAAGGTTCCCATTTACATTTTCATGTTAAATGTTTGGTTCTTTAAAAACAATTCAGTGATTTTAAAGTGACAATTTGAAGAATCAACCAAGAGTTTTTTCCTCATTTCACAGGATCCATTTATGACACAATAAAACAGCCTCCCTCCCAAAAATTTAAGGTCAAATTAAAGGCAGATAAACTAACATTGGATTTAAAAAGGAAGATAAATCCTTAGAGGCTTTTTAAAACATAAAATGAGTACCAAATAAAAGATATAACAGTATCATGATTGAACAGAACAGAAAATTAATGCAGATGCGCAACAACTGAGATGACTGAATGTGCTGACATTACTCTGCATATTTCCACTTAAAGTATATTAGAAATAAGTCTACTGCTGAATAAAGCAACAAATGTCAGGCACCGTGCAAATATTTAGTGCAAGAACAGCTGCCTCATGAACTTTCTAAATGACTTCTGCTATCAGCTATCCTAGTTTTGAATCTGTCCTGCATGGCAGATATTTACAGACTGCCAAACTGTATGAAGATATTATCAAATGCATTTTACTAGCAGCTAATCTGTATTTAACCCTGGTCAGATATTAAACTGCAAAATGAAATCATTGGGCCAAAGGGATCTCTTGAAAAACAAGTATATGGGGAAATAACCGCATAAAGGTGGTCAAACTAATGTTCAAACTAATGCTCTGTCAGAGCTGTACTGTGCTTGACCTCCTCAGTCTGCTTCTGAGAAGATGCACTTACATGGGTGTACTGTATTTTGACCCAAACCAGTATTTTTGCATGGAACTGCACTAATCCATATAGTGCACTGCTTGCTTGGAGGTACCACAAGGATCTTGGAAACGGTGCTGTGTTGCACACCACACACATGCCTCAAGACTTTTATCTCGACTCAACCTGATGACGGCAAGGATCCAACTGGATTTAGCAGTCAGACAGCTGTCAGCAAAATCACCACTGTCAATATCACTCATAAAAATCGATAGTGAGAAAGGTATTTTATAGTCCTTCTATAGCTTGAGGTTTATATTTTTAAAAGATCAATTGTTCCCTCATGAGAACACAAAGATGGAGATATTTTTGTCTTTGCATGCAGTCATCGGCGATATATATAGAGCAGTAAAATCCAAAGATAATTACAGCATGAAGATATTTTTTAAGATCTTTACTTTTTTGGGCCCACTTGTCCCACGTTGACTCTTACGCAGATGACCTTTCTCGTCTGCATCCCCACAGAACAGGTGGCCTCCCCGTTCCAGCTGGCAGAGGAGTTGAAAGCAGAGACAGACGTATCCTCTATGCACTGTCCCCACGGGCCGGTCTGCCAATGATACACAGTGCAAGAGTGTTCGTTACAGCTGCGTGTTTCCTGCAGGGCACTACTATTTGGGCACTGTATTCCTCCTGGAACAAGAAAACAAGGCAAAAGTTCATGCAGTGGAAGGACATAAACTGTTTTATTAAAAAAAAAAGAAAACCCACACTTTGAAATGTTAATATTATGACTCTGATTACATGAAAGAAATATTCCTCTTTCCTCCTCTTCATATGACCAATATGGACTCTGATAAACTTCAGTCAGCAGACTACACAAAACAGAATGTGCAGGGACAGGAAATGTAAATGTATACAATAAGGATGCCAAAATAATAGTAACTTCTATAACACACCAATATGCTTGGAGTAATCTACAGGCTTTTTATTTTGGGGTTCTCTAAAAGACACTACAAGAGATCACATAAGGAGGTATGAGGGCTCTACGCAGAAGAAATAGTTAAATATTCTAGTTATGCATGTGTAGAGACCTGTTTATGTCTAATTCACGGATCAATCAAAAAGATTTTTGGAGCTCTTGTCCTAGCTCCCAATGGATATTTATCCATTTTACGTAATTACCAAAGAGGATGGCACAGCTGGCAATTTCAGGTCCAGACTGAGATAATAAAGGTTGTTGCAGGTAAAGATTAAAATGCATTCATGTGTCAATAATTGTGAAGAAAAGCTCAAATAATGCTATCTTTGCTGTGTCCAATTTCAGATAGTATGTTCAGTTTCTTATATTCAAGCACTTCAAAGCTAATCTGGCCTTCCAATCCTCCATGAGTAAAGAAGAGGTCTTCCCTAGCAGAATTGATGATAGGCTACGAGGTGTCTAGCCCTGTGAGTAGACAGCATGTCTGCTAGATTCTGATGCTGCTAGACATACAGAATTCACATTTAAGAATTAATTAAACACTCATGGCACAATAGGTCTCCTATCTCCAGATGATGGAAAGCCAGGGGAAACCGAAACAACATTTTAGTCTTTCCTAAAAGACAAGAAAAGTAAGAAAGATAACTGACAGAGGAGTTTTTTATTAGTTACTACAGATTAACTATACTTTGCTTTTCAAGGAAAAAAAAAAACCCGTATGCTCACTCCAAGCACATATCAGAGAGCATATTAGCCTTTCTATCCCACCTCCATACCTATGGACATGCAAGAGGCGAGGGGTTTTAAAGCACTTATTGTTGAGAGAAATTACACAAACAACTACAGGTAATGAAAGAAACAAGGGATACTTCAAGTACTCCAAAACAAGTAAGTCAAGTGTCACAAGCGGTGAAAATACTTTGTATCCTAAGTTGCTTTTGTGGAACACCTAAACCTGCAGCAAATGTGAGGAAAGGGCCATTCTAGTGAAACCACAGGACAAAATTCAAATTCTCATATTGTTTTTAACTTTCAACCTTGGGCTAACAATATCGATGCAACCAAGCAACAGCAAACATCACGTTAACTGAGATGTCATGCCAAAGACAAGCTAATCAAAGGGGTATTAGAAAAACCTAAAAACCTGTGAATGTAATGAAACAAGGGAATGGGTTCTGGCTCAAAATGGGTGCAATTCGAGTCTATCAGATTTGCTTTAAATATACGTCAATATGCATAGCAGCAAGATAAAACACGTCATATGCATTTTCCTAAAAAAAAAAGGACATAAAAAACAAATGGTAGAACAAAATTATGGTTATGTAATACGTTTCAAAAAGTTATTCAAGCAGGATCCTTGAGGAGATAAAAAACTTCTGGCTAACAGCAGCAGATAGTAATACAAACAAGGAAATTAGGAAAGTGAGTGTGTTTTGAAAAAGAAAAAAAAAATTAAAGATAGTAAAAATAAATTAGTTGGCACAAGGCAGAAAATTGATCCATTTGAGAAGGAGTGTAGACATGTTCCTCCAGTACGAAGGTTAAAAAAAGGAAGATTTAGAAGAGATAAGGAAGGTTACTAAATAAATTCTTTCCATATGATGTTAGCTCAAAAAGAAACACAAGGGAAATATTTAAGCAAATTCATAAATCAAAGGAGGGGGTGTGGGAAGAAACATTTCCCCAGGAATGGATGTCACAACCACCAGTTCCTAAGGCATTTGAGAATAAAGTGACAACTTAGATTCAGTTTTGACAGCTATGTAAGAATGTATATTCAGGGGAAAAAATAGAGTGACATTGACTTGTAAATGAAAAACATTGGGGCATAAATGTCTGCAGCTCAGTGGGAATCCAGCTCTATTCAGATGAAACCAGGAGTTAAAAAAACTACGTAAAGAACAAACAAAATGGAGAAATAATGTTACTGAAATATAAAAAGACTATCACTAGCACTATATTTTTGCAATACTAAAAAATGTATAATTTATTTATAAATCAGTGTGCTGTTCTCTCCAGGAAAACAGCATTCCCTTGTGCTCCCTCAAATTAAAATAGGTACCAAAAAAGCAGAAGGGGTTGGAAAACTGGCAGTTAGAGATACCCTTTATAACATCTGCGTAGGCATAACAAGATCAGGGCTGCTCAACTTTAAGAGCATTTCACCAAATGAGGACAGGTTTGACAGGAATATAAAAATTAATGAGTATCAGAGAAAAAAATAAAATAGACATTTAATTTTATCATAATACAAAGGGACATCCAATACTAAACACATTTTATATAATACATGATCAGATTACTTTAAATAAGTGCTTGGCAGTACTAAAAATACTCATTTCAAGGTGCAAAAACCAGCTGGAGCTGAAGCATTTCTTTTTAGTTTTGGATACTTAAGTAAAGCACACTTGGAAATGGAAGGCTAGCTTTACAGAGAGACTTGCATACTACTCATAAAATGGCAGAGCTATGAGAGTAGTTTACTTGAACGCTTCAAGAGAATTGTCATAAGCTTAGATTGCTTTTCTGCCCGATTTGGAGCTGGTAACAGGTACGACATCTCACCCTAGGGTATTCAAGGATTGAATTTTATAAGTCTTTCTTGTGACACTATCTTGATAATTTCCAAATTTCAAAATGCTGAACATTTCCTAAAGCATTTAGGATCATTTTAATTCATCATTTTGATATCAATTATTTTACAAATGCATGTAATTTTATAGATGCATTTCAAAACAGCTGGAATAATCTTAAAGTTCGAGAAAAGAGCTGCACCTGAAGTGTAATCTCTCGTAATCTGGGGAGTGAGGTGTTACTCATTTCTTCTTTGCCATAGGAATGAGCTTGGCACTCCTTGAGGCAGCTGTGCTTCCCGAAGACAGACATGGTTGGTACATGCAGACTGCTAACATAAGAACAAAGACTGCCCTGTTGGTGCAGATCTCCTGTTCCAGTTCCACAGGCATTCATGCTTCCTCACCTGGTTTGTGTAAATTATACAAACCAGACCTGTCCCATAATACACAACTGGACAGGAGTTGGGGTGCACCCATGGGAGATGAGTAATCTGTCCTCAAGTCCTTTCTCAGACAGGATTTGAGTGCCAGACCCCACACTCCAGGCAGCAATCTGAAACAAGGGGCTCCTGAGGGAAAGGGGAAGCACAGTAACGTCCTCTCCCCTGGCTCCCCTCCACAAGCGGGTGCCAGGTCACTTTGCAAGCCCAGTCTGAAAATTCAGGTTCCCCAGTTCCACAACTGAGTGGTTTTTTATTCCTGTTTCAGCTGAAATCAGTCAAAACTCATGAAAATCCCTGTCTTCTCCAAAACCGATCCTTTAGTGAATAAGCATTTGCTGGGAAAACAATTATTTGGTTCTATGCTTCCAGATTTAACTACTAAACACTGTTATTTGAAGCTAGGAAAATACAAATATTAAAACCAAACAAACCGAACAAATGCAAGAAGAGTAAACATATTAAAAAGCCCTAAATATAATTTCTAATTTGCAACTGTGAAGTCAAAATGCACTGGAATTTTAACAGGAATAAAATTTTAAAGTGTATCAACCATAATTTGCCTAGAGTTGAGAAGAAACTCCTTTGATCCAGCTATTCCTTACAAGTTCAGTAAACCAATGTTGCAGATATATGAGAAGTAGGAGCTATTGGTCTCTGTCAAACAGAACACCTGACAAGATGGACAACTGATATTTTGTACTACCTAACTCAGTGATGTTTAATAGTCTGTGATGTACAAGGTCACATAAACAGTCCTGTTGGCATTATACTTTGCTAATCTATGAACATGCAATAGCCATAGTAAGACACTGTCATGCATATGCGTCCCTGACCTAAGAGATATTTCAAACAAAATGGTCTTTCACTCTCATTTTATTAAATTAAGATTTTTAATCAGATTACTTTCTTCTTTGCATTTGACTTATCAGGTGTTTTTTTTTTTAATCTTTACTTTTCCAAAATCAGTATCAGTCATTTACTACTGATAAAACTTGGAATGTATCCACAACATTAGAGTTATGCTGTATGGCACTGATTTGGCTGTGTCAATCAATGGCAGTGTATGACCACTACAAAATCAATCTGCATATCTACTATTTACTAAGAAATTAAGACTCATTTAGTAGCTTTTAGTTCCAAGTCATGGCCTATGGAAAGTAGTCTTAGTGCATATTACTAATTATATAAGATGTACTGTAAGCAGGAAATAAAAAATTAACAGAAATACTAAACAGAAAAGAAAACAAAAATAGAGAAACCCTACATTCAACAGAGATAGGCTGAGTTGTATACGATGCTTTTACCAGACTTATGCAGAACAACCATATGATGTATCGGGTAACATGATTATGTCCTTTGCTGTCATTTTATATTTTGAGACAGTGTCTTTCCTGAATTTCTTACTGTACCATGAAGATGTATTTGACAGTGACACAAATGAGCTACCACTATAAGCAGGCTCACAGACAGGCAAATTTATAAATCACTTCACCTTTCAAACCTTCAAACTGAGGACAATGATCTCAGAAAAGTTATCATAAATAGTTATTGTGACACCAGTTTCCACACAGAGTCATCTCACAAACCACAGAAAGTCTTTTATCTTGAGGAAAGAGATCCCTCCCTCTCTCTCACCACTGAATGCAAGTAAATAAGCCCACCCCAGAGGTGCATAAGCACACTGTGCCTGAGGCTCTGCAGCGTATGGTTTCACAAGGCAGAAGAAGTGTTGTTCTGAATGAGGAAATGCCAATGAGAGGGCATACGGCTGAGGTCAGCTCCTGGCTTGAGCAGAAGTCAGAGTGGTGCTGGAGGGGCATTTGTGTCCCAGAGCTCATTAGAAAACTTTGTCACTACTGTAATTTACATATGGCTTCAATTTTTCCCATGAAGCTACTCTTGTCAACAAAGATTTATTATTATAATACTACGGAATTATTCCAATTCTAAGTCATCCAAGAAAATCGATTATACTGTGGCTGTTTCCTGGTGGCTAGTTATGCTAACTTGATGGTTTCTTCAAACCAATCCAGCAGCACAGATAGCTTGGAAGTAAGAAAAAAAATAAGGTCTTAAGTGTGAAATGACAGCTCTATCACGGACAGTCATCAGCCAACATTAACAAGCAAAATGACAGAATAGATTATTTATTATTTCAAAGAGGAGAGAAACTGAACAATCACAGACAATACTTTGATAAGCAGCTATCTGAGAGCCAGATAAAAGAACTTTTCATATGTACTTAGAGACCCTCAAAAATTTCTATGGAGTGCTCATGTTTAAGTACTCCAAGGAACAAGAATTAAGCACTTCAGATACCTTTAGGGATTGCAGTATTCCTTGTGTACGTAACGCCTGCAATGCTTTGATCTTCCCAAGCTTGTAGACTGAATTGTCCATGATCAGCAGGAGGATGCGTGTGATCAAGGACTCACAGTGATAAACCTAGACTCCTTATGTCGTATTAGAAGTCAAGTTTAGTCTTATTTGCAGGTTGGCAACAGACTTGCACATTTTCTCATTAATTAACATCCAATCCTGATACCATAGGAATTGTTTATATTTATGTACAATATATTTGTTCTATAAAAATTCTCAAATATCATGGCTATATTATACAGGAATTACTATGAAATGGCTTACCTAACCTGTCTGTCATACCAGGAGTGCAAGAAAAGGTTCAAAAATCCAAAAGGGAACACCTGTGGGACCGTTCATCTGAACGGAAATGATAGCTATTTTCAGAACTAAGTTTTAACCAGCAATGGAATTATCGGTCTTACATTTATGAGACTTGGGATTTTTAGTTATACAGGAAGTTTACAGAGTTTTCAAAAGTAATCTGCATTTTTAATAACCTCTGAATAGAACTGAGAACTGCAGGTATCCCCAAAAAACGTTCATGTGGAGCTTCCTTTTTATATCATCAGAATACAGAATTTCAGGCACATAAATATTTTCTATCCCACAAGAACACGAAATGATCTCCCAGCACCAACTACACAATCAGTGTTTAACCTTTTGGGAACACGGCTGATCTCTGTCGTGCAATTCTCCAGGTGAAAAGTCATTCAGTTATTTGTCACCTAGGAAATAACTAAAAGGCATAGGACATGTATGAGGAGAAAGATGACAATAACTCCAATTTCAGAGAAGCATAAAAAATAAAACTTGAACTGATACTTTTGGAATATAATACAAGCAAAGGTGAAAAGTACCTCCCAGCTAGAGTTGTAACGATATGCTAAGCCTTGGAGGGTTCTTTCATTTATTTATATATATTTATTCTTGTGGGAAAATAACTGAAATTGGAGGGGAATGGGAGAACATTGACCCCCAAAATTCAGCGACATCTTAACATAAGCCGTAATATCAGAGCAGCTCTGAGATGAGACACAGCTGCTGCTCCCAGGAAAGGCCTACATAATATCCTTGAAATGGAGAATAGAGTGATACGGAGGTATCACGGCTCATCCTTGTTATCCGGGATAAGGAATAGCAAATAAGGCCTACGTAATATCCTTGAAACGGGGAGTAGAGTGGTACGGAGGTATCACAGCTCATCCCTGTTATCAGGGAAAAGGGGCGCCTGGTGAAGATAAAGATGACTCACAATCGCTGCCTCAGCAGGGATGGTGAAATCGTGTCCTTTAGCTACCAAATCACACCTCCACCCACCTCCGAGCTGCGAATACCCCTCACGAGAGAAATTACACCAATCCTAATCTGCGACCACGCCTCACGAGAGAAATTTACACCAATCCTAATAAAGTTATGTATGACTAGAGTCACTTGAGATCCACCTTAAAGAAATGAAAAAGGTATAAAATGGCAAAAGACAAAGGGGATGTTAGGGAGAAGCCCCTCCATCAAAACGTCCGGGATCAGTCGACAGGCTGAACCTCTCTTCTCCCCCCCATAGGGACGCCTATTGGGTAAGAGCTCTGTGTTATGTGCACTTACTTACTAACATCTTGCTAGCTATTTAGTATTATCACTGCAGTATTTTAATTAAAGTTGTTCTTGTAGTCAGTCACTATCACCGGCTATCTATGAATCTATATCCTGTCACCAATAAAATCTTATATATATATACTAAAGTTCTGGAGACTTTTGCCCTTATTATAAGGAGGTTGGGCTATAGTACTACCGAACCGGTGTACTCGCCAAAATTATATTCAAAGGTTCTAGGAACCTTTGCCCTTATATAAGGAGGTTGGGCTATAGTACTACCAACCAGGTGTACTCGCCAAAGTTATATATTCAAAAGTTCTAGGAACTTTTGCCCTTATATAAGGTGGTTGGGCTATAGTATTACCAAACTGGTGTACTCGCCAAAGATATATACAAAAGTCCCAGCAACTTTTGACCTTATTATACAGACCAGTCATTTTGGCTTCAAAACGTGACAATTCTCTAGAGTTTGTACAGAGTACAAAGGAGCACGATGTTGAAAATGTCTGACCAAGATGTGAGCGAATTGCTATAAGTCAGGTAGACATACCAGCTTACATCCTTAAAAAAAGCACAGAATTACCTCATCTTGGAATAGTGGTAAAGACGCCAGGGTTCGAGCAAAGCTGAAGCAGTACAACATCTAGGTAATGAGTTGGCTTTCTCAGCAGTAGTTTAGGGATCTCTTCGCTATTACTTGTGTGGTTTGAGAGCTGTCAGTCTTTGTGATGACTCGGTGCTGGTTCTGACCATTGTACAACAGACATAAATAAAATCCAGGCTATGCTTAACTGCTTTGCTGCATCTGCAGCTTTGTAAATTATCATAAGATGTGTTAAGTATCAAAGTCAGAATAAAACAACTACTTTTTAAAAAGAAGCATAGGAAACTGGAATAATTTTCTGAGTAATTTAGGTTTTCTTTTCTGTGGCATGTCTTGTCAGGATGTTAAATTTCTGTCTCCAGTAAGACTGCATAAGCATACTGAAAATCATGGAAAAGCAAGAAGCACATAAAAATATGTTTATATGAATTATCATATGAAAACATGGTTCTGTCTTTCCCTCAAAATGAGTCCACTCATTCACACACTATAAATAAAAGGGACAACATAAATTCTTTTTTTTCTTATTTTATGAGCATTTCTACTCTGTTACATAAATTCATCTAAATAGTTTATTATTTGAATCACCTACTAAAATAAGTATAGTTCTGATTGCCTCTTACACTTCTAGCAAATGTCTCTTTCAGGGAACAGGTTGAAAATGCCTTTCTGTGCTATATTTTTTTTTTAACCAACTCTGTCAGTAAATTATTTTTATATTACCCAACTTCTGTCAAATACACAATACACTTTTAGCAATTAAATTAACTATGCTTGTAGAGAAGTGTTTTGGTATATGATAAAGCCTATCCTTTTCTTTCTCCATTTCTCAGAATGGGTATTCTGTTTCACTACTTCCACGCTTTACAGGTTTCACTTTTCAGCTAAATTTCACCTTAACTCTGAAATAATAAAACGTTTAACAGTTTTAAAGAAGAATTAAAACATGCATATATCCTTTTATATTTAAGGCATTTAACTTTACTGTCAGCAATACATGGGAGTAAACGTTTTTCAGGAACTCTTTGGTGGTTGCCTCCTTGCTGTCAGTGTTGCACATAGCATTTTATCCAGTTGGACCCCGGCATACCTGATGTGGCCATTTTAGAACCATGTTACATACAGAATACATTTGCTTTACTACCCCCCAAAATACTTAAGAACAAAACAAAACCATTTAAAGGAAGCTTGGAAAATCATCAAAGAATAGGCATGAACCTATATCTAAAACCTTTTTCTTCTTCTCCTTTATATTAGACCTACATCCTCTCTTCACATGTACTGCAGATGCTGCACAAGGACCATTTGCATGAACGGAAATCAATCACATGAGTGAGGATTTGCAGGGTAAAACCAAAGTCTTACTATGAGTAACAACACTAATGGGGTAACTTGGTTACTAATTTGAACTAAGAAGCTACAAAAGCCATTTGTTGGCATTTGAACCCATTAAAACTCTCATCTTTTCAGTATTCATACTTTCATCATTCTAAATTGGTCCTATATTATAGCCAAGGTTACTAATAATCCTCTATAAATATCTTTCATAGAGATTTGCATAGGATAAATTGTTTGCCTTGTTTAATTTTAATAGAAAAAGGGAAAACCATCTATTCAAAATCAAAACAGAACATTATGATTACTAATAAAAACATTAACTGAAATAAGCAAAATAAAATCTCCTCTTTAAAACAGCTTTAGGTACCATGAGTAAATGTAGGATAAGCATTTAAATATTTTTTCTATATTTAAAAAAAACACAACTCCATTGAGTAATTTGTTTCTGTCGATCAAGAAATTACTTTGACGTTGCAAAGACAGTTGAGAATTCACATTCAAAAAAGAGTCTGCAAGAGTATGCGACCTTACCTTCACCTGCATACGCCAGAATGGAGCGGGCACGCATCTGCTTCCCTTCTGTGGTTTTGCCGGAGCAGGTGTGTGAGCAGGAGGACCATGCGGACCACGTGCTGAGCACACAGTCCTTTGGGCATGGAGCTTCGCAGACAACCGGGATTGGGTAGATTGCATCTCTACACAGCTGTCTGTCAACCTCTTCTCCTGGGAAAGAAAAGGCCAGTAGCAGTCTATCATTTGTTAAATTAATTTAAAATGAGCAATCTAGTCCAGATGGGCACACAAATAAATTAGATTCTGTTCTTCTATATAAACAAGGTAAATAGATTTTTTATTAAAATTACTTGTTTCCTCTGCCTTGATTCTAGAAAAACATGCTTACCCTTAGTTTAATTTGATATTCTGCTGAAGCGAATGCTAGTGTGGGTGGTCTTTAGGCTTTCATTTTGTTATTACATATTTGATTCCACAGAAAATCCTAATGTGAGTAACAGACTATATAATACACCTATGAAGAACTGGAAACACATGTACATTAATCATCTAGTCTTCGTCCATGTCTGTGGGAGAACTCAGCCAGTTTTATAACCCGCAATTCATCATGAACTGCAGCTATGCATCAAAATATGAGGAGAGTTGCAGTAAGCTGCAGTCATAGTGTCTTATTTGGTTAGAAAGATCTTAATTTGTTAGCAAAGCCAGTAAAACATCAGTGTTTGTGTCATGGAAATATAAAAAGGTCTATGCATGTGTATTCTCTCACACCAATGTACACATTCCATTATAATAAAAAAAAATCCAGTATGGTATAAATTGTTTAATGACATGCTAGCTAGTGTTTAAGTAGTAGGGCTGCTTTTGCTTTCAGTAAGGAAATCGTGGGATCACTGTGTCTGAGATCTGTCTGAACAGCATCCTAATCACAAAGGGGTTAGTTTTGTAAGGTGACATATGATTTCCTGATTAAACCCCTTAATATCCATTAAATGAGGAATGAACAAATGACCACATATTCAGAGGTCAATAAGTCTCACTAACAGTAGCAAAAGCCTCGGCATAAATCTTCACTTTGGAGCAGATGAGGGGAAAAAATTAACTAAGAAGGGAGAGATTTGGATTCTCATTCTCTCTTTTATTCTCTCTTTTAGAGTTATATCCTTGTTGTCACATCAACCAATTACAGAAAGTGCTTCCAATGAAAAGCACTAAGAACTGAACAGTAGCCCAATATAGAATGCTGATTACAAAGAACTGTGAAAAAGTTCCATCTAAGAGCACACTGGACTTCTCAGGCCCTGTTAATCACGTACAATTAAGGCACAGAAAGAGCCAGTCTCATTTGTAAAGATGAAACTTTTTTTTTTTAAGTTTGCTGAAAAGTAAAACATTTTAAAAGCTTCTGAATGCCTTTTGTGGTATGTGATCCTTGCTGTACTAGGGCATAAAACCTTCTGTTGAACTGTTACTAATCTACTGAAACATTATTGAAGCCTATGTGCTCCCAATGGCACTGAACAGGAGTGTTTGTAGCATTGCACTTGCTATGATCTATCATGTCAACCTTATTGTTTTAATAGCTAATGGCAACAAAATTACATCTCATCAAGATTTGCGATGAACACAAGTCTTCAATACAACAAAACATGTGTTAGAAATAATCATTAAATAGTCTAAAATTTAATAATAAAGACATCACCACCACCTGGATTCTGAAAAGCTAATTCAGTGAGCACTGTTAATGCTGTAAATGAAGCCAAAAGATCTATAAACACCACTTTACCCAAGCCTCAGATTAGGCTTTAATTGCTTAATAGAGTAATAATAAAATGAATCAAACACTAATCTAAACAGAAACTACATTTTTCTCATTCAAGGGTTACAGAGTCTTAAAACTTCCCAAATAAGAAGTTCTGAGAAACTGAGTGCCTGAAAATTGAAGGTACTTTAGTAATAGTTACATATCGTGAGTCTCAGAATTATTAATGACCAAATTCTTTATAAAAAGGTGAAAAAATGAGGGCCATCCATCCAATATTATATCCCTTTAACCAGTGTCAAATATTTTATTCATACAGAATCTTTAGGCACAACAGAACTGCAAACATCAATCTTCCTTGGCTCTGCAAACCAGGGGAAGTTCTGCAGTTCGTGCTTTTAAAATAGCCTAAAGTAGTCATAATCATCTGAATTACAAAGACCTTTGAGATCAAGTCAGTCTCAATAGCTGTATTGTTCCATATGAAAAATACAAATTTGAGCCCTGCCAACGGCTTCATAGATCTCTCACATCAAGTTCTGCTTCCCTCACTGGACTCAATCTCTGCATCAATTGCTTCTTCTCTTGTATCACAGGTCATCACATCCTGACATCAATGCAGGAGGGATTCTTCCTGCCTGCTTCATCAGAATGGCACGTGTTTGGGTTGACAAGACAGAGGAGTAGACTGCAAAGTTCTTTTCCAAAGAACAGAAAAAAAAAGCTAGAAAAGGAGTGAACCTTACTCTCAAATTGTTCCATCACCAGGTAAGACTCAATGAGGTAAACTGCCGGGACACTTTCACACCTTGCAAGAAATACTACTATTACAGTAAAGTATGTCATTGTGTAAACATACAATACTATATCGAGCTTATTTATCTCCTGCGATCTAAGGTGGTGTTAACTTGAAACTCAAGCTAAATTTGGGGTCACGATGAATTAATTTCAGTTTGAGTTTATATTTCAAACAAAAAAAAAAAGCCTTCACACTCTTCCAAAATCAAAGCCCTCTATTATTCTTTAATTGACAGAGAAAATATTCTCGAAATATTTTCCATATCAGCATTTAGTTTTTGTCAACTATCCAATTCTTATCTGATGAATTCAACAGCATAGATATGCAGCTGGAAGGAATGTTTCAGAATGGATACTTCTTATCTTCAGGGAGATATTTCGTTCAGACTACACTGTTTCTGACATTTCACAAATGATTTTATGAACAACTTGACCTTTGTTGTCTTCCTCTTTAAAGTGCACAGCGTAGTCAACTACCAGGAACCACTCAACCATACACTGGGAACAATTTCAATGTAAAGACTAAAGCTACTTAGAAGACCCATCTGAAAAAGTTTGCCATGTGTAGTGTAATATTTCACTCAAACTTTAGAGGTATAAATTTATGTTGCACAAGAGTCTAAAACAGAACTCCAAAAACATGAGTCAAAGGTCCCTGCCCTGAATTATTTACACTCCAAGCAACAGAATGATAAAAAGTTAAAACCGGAAAGATGAAAACAGAATATGACATTTCTGTCAGGAAAACTCTTCACCATTTATCAGTTGATTTGCTCATTAAAATCTGGAATCTAGCAATAATCCATGTTCAGAAATAGCACCTATGCAGTTGAATGATTTTCCTCTCTTATGCAATAGATGCACATTTTGGGCTAAATTATCCAAAGTGCACTGAAGGGAGTGACTGCATGTAGAAATGGCAGGAGACAAAACAGGTTTTTCAAGGATTTAAAATGTCTGAAAGCTTTGCTGGGATTTTTACAGACTTGTACCATCACTAAAGACCACCAAGGAGACGGCCATTCAAATCCGTATCTCTTCCTTGAACTGTTATGCTGGATCCAGCTAGACAATCAGCAAAGTGAGTCACTACATTAAGATCTCCTTGTGGCCTTCTTGGTGTGAAGACCTGCTAGTATGTGTGCACACATCAGAGCCACTAGTGAACTACTGAACTATCTAATTGCTTTAAAACAAATAAACAAAAAAACCCTAAACCAACCAACCAAAAACCCCCAACCCCTCTACTGAATAGGCAATTTTTTACAGATTAAAGACAAGCAGCTTGTCAATAGCACGCAGGAGGAGCTGGCTAACTCTTCATAACTTTCAGGCTATATTCATATCGCCTTTCTTGTTCATTACATTCACAAAGGAGATATGGTATTCATGAAAATTTGGTCTAGATGCTAAAGGTTGGGCTAGACTGCCGAAGACTTACATTCTGTGATTAATGTAGTTGAATCATGTCACTCCTTTGTGTTTTTGTTTACTCATCTGTAAAATGTGTCTGATATTTAAGTTTCTTGTAAAATGCTTTAAGACCTTTCCAATGGGAAGTATTCTTAGAGCTAGTATCACTAGAGAGACATGGTATGGAAAGCCTCTTGCATCTTTTAATATGATGCATGCTTCAGTGCACAGTAAAATATTGCTGTCAAATTCTGACCTGTAGTAAATGGAAAGGCAAGTGCTTAACAAGGGGCAAAATTTTTTTAAAGCCTTAAAATGAGCAGTAAAATCACTACAAGAGTCAATGAGGCATAAAGAACAACTGGGAAAAAAAATCAACATAAAATAAAAATGCTGCTGGAGTCCTACACAATAAGGCAATGAACTGTACCTGGAAACCCGATATAATCTCTGAAAGGCTGAACTATAACCAAATATCAACTAAGTAAAAAATTGACAATAAAATCACAATAAATGGGATCAAATCAGGAGAGTGCTTTGAACACCAATATTGAACTTTCTGTTTTAAAAATGCGTGGATAATCAGTAAAGGACAGGAATATCACAGAGTGGTAAAACAAATCATGCAGTTATATTTTCAAGTTCATAAAAGAATTAATGGCATTAATTAGGCAACTGAGCCTAAATGCTAAAACCGCAGACTTCAGACACTGTACTGTTTAGCTGTAGTCAAATGTGTTTACATGTGCTAGTATATCTGCAACTCTAAGGAAAAAAAATGCTCTGTTATGCCAATATCTTCTTTTTGTGGCTGCTAGCAGCCACATATGATAATCTGCTTTTAAGTACAACAGGACACAGAAAACTACAGTTTATCATCCAAGTGTTTTTAAATCTGCACATTTAAAATGACAATGTGAAAACACGAAAGGACAGAAAAGACTAACAGTTCAAAGCACTACATGATCTGGATGTACTGGTTATACATACTAGCGTATATACTGTGTTACGTGTATGCGACTATATCAGTTTTCTCAGCTGATGGCTTTCTTGGCTTTCCATTGCTTTCACGGTTGATGTTTCTCTTGCCAGTTTTCTTGTCTTGACAGTAAAGTTGCAAAGGATGCACACAATGCGTCATCCATTGGAAAACTGCTGGGAACCTGAAATACTTCATAAGGCACCCCAGAGCTCAATCTTTATAGCACTTGGTGTTTGTGGGTGAAGAAGGCCTTGT